ACATAGACTGAGACTCAACCTCAATGGGGATAAATAGCATTACTCTATACAACATCATGTATCCTCACTGGGGTTGAACCCCAATTTATGTGGTAATTATATGACATTATGTGATAGACTCAATTCAACGAGTCATGTGACTTTGTATTTAAATGAATCTATTATTTAATGTCATGTAATTGCCACATAGATTGGAACTCAACCCCAATGTGGATGAATAATATTACTCATTGAAAATTTTTATATAAACATTGACATCGAAAAGTTAAAGAGTTGGGGGGCGGGACCATTGTCAAATTGTAGTCGAACAGATTATAAAAAATTCAAAATATTTATTAAAATTAATAGATTCTTGCCTAATTTTAAATGATGGATCGAATCGATTTTCAGTTTTTCCAATTGAATCAGTTGGGTTGATTTAAATTTACGAAAATTGCTAATTATTATATAGTTTACCTAAGGAAAAAAATTAAAAATGGGTTAGAAATCTTACGAATTCCAATTACCCGATTGATTTTTGAATATGATGGTTGATTTTGAGGCTGGTTTGGTAGGTTGGGATTAAAGTAATCTAAGGTAGGTTGAAGATTATAATTTTGGTAAAAAGGGCTTACACAAGCATTACGTAAGCAAAAAATCAATTATCTTAAATTTGACATGGACTAATATGTTGTTTTACGTTAAACCCCCTTGGTTTAGAATGTGAAAAAGATTGATAAAAATTAAATAGGAGACATTTAGTCAAGGTTCAAACTTCATATTATTTGGAAGTGAATGAATCAATGCCCTTGTTGGGGCTCCACTTTAGAGGGTGTTTGGTGGGAATTAAAATTAGATTTTTAGTAGAATGTGATAGAAGTTTTCGAAATGTGTAATTAAAAGTCGTGGGACCCATTAAAGATGTGATTAATATTAATTGTTTGACTTTGACTTGAATTAAAATCAGATTTTAATCTGGACCAAACAAGTGCTTAATGAAGTTTTGGGGAAAATATATTTTGAAATAATAAATTTTTTTAAAAATGTGTAATTAAAAAAAAGAATTTTTTTTGGATTACATGTAATATTATTTTATTGAAAAACGTGGAATTTTAAAGAAAAAATAGAAAAATCCATTAAAATTTTAATGGAGTCCAAACAGGGGCAATATATCATCGTGACAATGGATCATTATATTTAGACCAACGTTGATTGATATGTTCAAAAATATGAGTTTCAAATTCATATATTTAATTGAATCTATCCTTTTCACTAAATTGCTATGTACAACGATGATTCATCGTCATAATGATAAATAACATTACTCTTTCAGAGTGGATGTCAATGTTCAAATTTCATAATATAAAAAAGTCAAATTAATTTTAAGTTATTTAAAAATACGAGAATTTTATCTACTTAGGCCATGTTTGGGAGGGATTCTCAAAATTCTACAGTAAATGAATTCTCATTTTCAACCACACATTTTTCAATAAAATAATATTTTTCATCACATCAATAATTTTTTCTTCTTTTTCAACAACATATTTCCCATCATATCACTATTCAAAATCAATCATTCCCCCAAAAATCCTTCCCAATCAAGCACTTAATTTGTAACTCCAACACGGTCAATCATATTCATTTTTCATGAAAAGTACAACACGTGGTACATTTAGAACCATGAAGTGTTCCACCGCACTTAATCCTTCTAATGGAGCAATCTCAATAAACTATTGAATAAAGGTAATCTCTAACTTATCGAGAAGTTTTTTGCTAAAACATATAGAACAATAAGGTAGTTTTAAGTCCGACACTCTCATGATCCATTTTTCCTTCAACACCACATTTGTTTGACATCATTATTTGAAGGAATGTATCTGAGTGCACGTCAATACATGGTTTAAGCTGCTTCATCTAGCGCACGATTGTATTGCTCTCCTAAATTCCGTTTTCATGGTTTAAGCTGTTCTCATTTCACTCGCCACTACTATGAGAATCGCCTTTATTTTTCTTCATCTTTGACTACTAATACGTTACGTTTGTTAGATGTCTCTTGCAGGTCAAAAGGTTGCTCTATTCAAAAACTCTCGGATGCTTATTTTTAACACGACGAAATATTTCATCAATTGCTATCTCCTTTCTCATCTCTCGTTGCCTAGGAACCCACTGAACCTTGCCTTTATAAAGTTATGTCATCATAAAGTGCTACAAAATAGACGGATCTTATCTTGTATGAATGATAAATCATAGACTGAACCGCTCTATCGAAAAAATTAGGCGAAATCATAGTTTTGTTCTTTAGTAACAAAAACTTTGTGCAATTCAATTCAATTGAAGATAATGCCTAATACTAAGGGTCCAAACAAGACCTGGCAATGCATGGCTCTTTCAATACCTTTACTAATAGTTTGGGGAAAACAGACAAACAGTTTCAATCACAAACTTTTTTAATGTTCATTAACCTAACTTTAAATTCTTGTTTGATGTTTCAATGTATCAATTTCCAACTGTCTAATTTTACGCGTGACTTTGTAATGTCCCACAAAGAACATTATCTTATCCACAACCTCCATACTTTTTTAACATTTTTTCTCTGCCGTAGTACTTTAATTTGTACTTATTCGACATATACTTTTTGATATATATATTCTTTTTTTTAAGACAAATAATTGATTGCATGTAGACTAGTCGCTTTAACAAGACATTTATATGAACATATTTGAATTATTTAGAGCATCAAATGTGATATATATTCGACTTTACAATAATTATGCATAAGTGCGGGTTCGAACTCTAATATTCGAAAACTAACAAAAGAATTTAGAAATGAGGAATCATTCGGTAAAAAATTGCTAAGTTTCATTTTAGTCACTGAACTTTGTTTTTTTCTTAACTGGGCATCACCAAGCCAACTTCTGTTAGCAAAATTAGGGATTGTCCAACATGGTGGGCGAATAGAGACGTGACAATGTGACAACGAACGATCATCTGTTAGTTTTACTAATGAAAGTTGATTTGACGATTTAATTGAAATAAAAGGAAAAATTTCGATAAATAAGTTGAAACGCAAAAGTTTCATCGGCATTTTTCAACCCGAGAATAATTGGTAATTGTGTACGTGGAAATTTAGAAACCATGGAGGAAAGGATAAGATGGTGTTGAAACTTGAATGGCATTTATAGCTAGTCACCCCTACCTAATATTGTTCTTATGCTCTTCTTTAACCCCCCACCCCACCCCACCCCACCTCCCTTGTGAGAATTTAATTTGGGTTGTTGATGGACCACAATAGCACTGATAGAAGCCTTCTTTGTTGGACCACAATAGCACTTATCTTTCTTTAAAGCAGAATAGAACCTACACAACAAACTGGAAAAAATATCAATTAGGTCCCCCACACTACACTATATCTATATATTGGACAGGACTTGAGGTGAATCCTACCAAAAAAGAACCAACTTTATTATGGTCAATCCCTGTAGAGCTATAACCTATCTCTCTCTCTCTCTGTAGAGGCTAGAAATTCACAAAGTTTTCAGTTTGATAAAGTAGATTGTATTGTATTAAGAAAGAAAAAGACATTAAATACTGCATAGATCAGTATTATGTGGTTAGTTAACTCGAAAAATAAGGGGATAATCTCTTTGTGTTTCAGTTTTGTATTTTGAATTTTGAAATTGTTGAAAATTTATTTTTTTTAGCATTTTGAAATATCCAAAACGCGTTTCGAAAATTTTGGCTTGATTATAACTGAAAAACAACAAAAAGACAAATTTGTCTTTTTGTGTTTTCTTTGTAAATTTTTAACTTATTTTCGAAAATAGGAAAGAGAACACATTTTCACTGTTTTGAAAAATAAAAAACAGAAAACGGCTTGAAAATGATAAAGAGAACAGACCCAAGTTTTTCTATCAATGGCGCCGAAGACGACAGAAGTTGACGTAATAGGGCAGCACAGCCACAGCAGTGTAAATTCCTAGAACTAAACAAGTCCCGTGAATTTGAACATTTGTCTGCAGAGTTGTTACTTGAGAATATAGAGAGAGAGAGACCGACGCTTTAAAGATTTGAAAACAGTGAGGTTGTACTAGGAAAATAGGGCAGGATATGTCCCAGTGGGCAGAGGCAGCTAGGCAGGTACAGAAAAGGGTGATATTCAAAAGGACAGATGGGTTTGATTAATAACATGTTTCTTGTGTAATGTCACACCCATTTTCCTTTCTAGAGGAAGCTCAGGGCAGAGCATATTTGCTGTTGATTGCACAATGTACAATGTAGTAGTGAAATAGACAGGTAAAATGATGGGATGGTGAAAGCTTAACACGACTCCACACTGTTTTTTCAGACATCACTGCTCATTCTGTATAGCATGTTGGTACAGTGAGCTGATGGGTAACATTTCTCGTTGATACTCTTCGGTGTCATTAACAAAAAATTCAAGAACAGGATCGATGACAGTATTACAGTAACATTAAAAAAAAAGGTGATGTGCAGCAAAAAGCATGTGCTATTACTGGCCAGCCTTTGTACAGTTTTCATTTTCATTTTTTTATCTATGATTCAAAATAATTCAACTTAATTAATGATTAGATCAATTAAAAAATGTTGTTGTTAACAAGTATCACTTGGTTCAATTCCAACATTTTATCAAACGGGTCTGGCAATATCCAATGAGACATTTAAAAGTAAACCTGTTTCTGCTCAAGTGTCTTTCATAGCACTCTCGTCACATCATGTTTGGCTGGCCTTGCTTAAAAGCCTCTAAAAATAACTTTTAAGCTCAGACAAACACGCACTAGGATAGGATTATGAAACTATCACAATTTTCGGGAGAGAAAAACTCACTTTTGCCAAATATAAATGAAGAAGCACCATAACTACTAATGTACAAACATATTAAATTCACAATTATCAAAGTACAATATGGAGCAGGACTGAGTAACTAGTAGGGTTGCTCCAAGAAGAAAGTCGGAGTATGAAACAACATTCACCTAAGCCAATACACACAAAAAGTACACAAATCACGCCGTTCCATTTACTCTTACATGGAATGGTGGCCCTCGACAGAAAATTGGCTCGTCAGATGAATTAGTTCTAGCCCGAGCTCTAAGAACTTCATTCGCATCATCAATTATGGCAGCTGCCAACATTGTGTATTCCCCAGGTATCAGGAAGTATAGAGAGAATGAATGCTTAATTTCTTGAAGGGGAGGAACTTTTGTGGTAATACCACTCAAAACACCTAATAGATACCAGCAACATGCACAGTAGTCATTAACCAAATATTAAGAATGTTTGATATACAAAAATCGAAGAAATCTCATTATATAAAACAAATCTGTACAAAAATCAAAGCAATCTCTGTATATAAAACTAATCTATTCTTTATTCTTTTTTTTTTTTTTTAATGGCAACAGCTGCATCTGGGGAATAATTAAACCTGTTCCCATAATATGACTTAAAAGAAAATAGCTTGAATCGGTAAACCACAAATATACTTATAGAAACAAAGGAGACATATTCATAGAAACAAGTGGCTAAAAGAAAATGTTGTCAAAGAATACCTTCCCATAAGACAGTAGCCTTTTCCCCCTCAATGCAGGTCTCACCAGCTACATCCCTGCAGGAGATACTAAGACTTATTCTGATCATTTCCTTGGTATTATTACGTATTAATACTTCCATAGGTGTCATGTCATGTGCAATGATGGAACCTCTGGATAAAGGAGAATTGTCTTGCACATCAGAATTGTCTGGTGAATCAAGTTTCCTGGTGTGATCAACACAATTTTTAGCTATCCTAAAGCCAAAGGTTAGTGGATCAGGCAGCAGCACATCCATCACAGAAGTTTGAAGGGCAGCCTGTATCGCGTCCTTGATATTTAATTCTCCTGAGCTGTTACGTCCAGATTGCCACCTGACTTTAATTCGAGAAATTAGATTCTTGATGGACGCATTGGTTTCAGCCATGGAATTCCTTTCTGAGAAGCTTGAACTTCGGCCACTGGTAGTTCCATTCATTTGGGAACCATTAACAAGGAAAGAACCGTCAAGGACAGGTAATTTAAAATGCTCCAATGGTATTAGAACTCTAGCAGTGTAATCTCTATCGATCCTTGTTTTAGGATAACTAAATTCCCCACACTTAAAATCAGAAGGGCTTTTATTGCTATTGGAGTTCTCCACGTCCACAGAGACAACAGTCTCAAATACAGTGTCAGTTGGATTAGATAACTCCAGTTCAAGGAAGCGAAGCCCCCAACTTCCCCTGTAAGGATCAATTTTCATGAACCTATCAGTCTGCTTTTCCAATCCATCAGCTTCTTCTACATCACCACTTTCTAGTTGTACCAGTTTGGGATAAGTTCCACCAACATGAGCTGGAATTTCCATTGATAGCAAACGAGCCTTCACAAAAGACAACCCCTGCAAGACGCATATGTTTAGAGGAATAACCAGCCGTCTACCAGGAGGTGGAGCAGACTCATTTCCTAGCAGATCTCCAGAATTAGAGAGTGGACCTAACAAGATAAATTGACTATTACAAGCAAGACTATCAAAAATCAAGATAAAAACTAAATTGGAAAATTCATCAGACTAAAGCTTGAGATATTATTGTAAGTATATCAATGAAACTAAAAGAAATTTACTCTGAATGATCTTTCAATAGGAAATATCAGCTGAATGACATCTTTTGAATTCTACTGATGTTGAGAAGTGCTACTTAGTTTCAAACATGAGTGGTGGCTAAGACACGACATACAGTTTCTAACATCACACACTTTGGGCAATACAATGCATGTTATTTTACATTCATATCCTCTCAACAGTCTCATTGCAAAAACACCATCACATGCAAACAACAGAAACTAATGGACTTCAGCATCATTACTCGTAAATTCTAAAAGATAATAGACCCTTTAAACATATATCCAAAACATAAATGTAATAGTGGAACATTGAACCAATCAAACGTCATCTCATAAAAGTTCAGAGTTTTAGGCTGGCTTTAAACCTATGTGGAAGCAAAGTGTGAAAAATATCAATTACCAACAAATAAAACCGTATGACCTTTCACACCTCAAATAATACCTGCATAGTGGAGCACCAACATTGGGCTGCAGCCATCTTTGACTAGCTTCCCCGTGCTTCCAGAAAGACTCCTTCCAGCAGCAGTATCGCAATCCATCAATCCAATCTGCCAGGCTTTTAAGGTTACAGGTATTGTCACTTCCCCACCAGGTTTCAAAGGGAGGGCTGACTTCAAAGTTTCATAAGCAACTGATACAACAGAGTCTTGGTTTTTCCCTGACAATGATATGTGAGCCTGCTCAACTGGAACTGTACCAGCATTGGCGAAATGAATCCACACATCACGAATCTCACCTTCATACAATATGATGGCACCATCACCACCGACAATGTGTGATACTAACAATGGCAGTGGTGGTACCACAGATACAGCAGGAAAAGATACATTTTTTATCTTCATGGACCCACAGCTGCGGAAAGGGTCAGAAAGCACAAGCCCTTGAGCTGCCCCAGTGAGCAGATTGTCTACATCCTTGAAAAAATGTTCCGAAATAACACCAAAACAATGGACAATGCATCCAGGAATAGAAACCGGACCCTCTTTGGTTGGAATTCCTGATAATGTAATCACCTTTGAAGAATTGGGCAGAAGATTCACAGTGATGGGAAAAGCATCGAAATTTCCAGAATGCACCGACAGGTATATACTATCAATCATCAATTCAAAACCACAGGGATTTGCCAATTCCACCAAGACTTGGACTGGTTCACCAACCACCCAGATCAGCTCCTGCTTACTGCTAAGATTTGACTCCCCCTTGCTGAATGGTGTATAAATGAAAGGTCCTGAAGGAGCAGCTCCTGCCCACCAGTCCTCTCTTGCAGTGTTACATTTAACAATATCCATTTGTGAGGAGTGGAGAGGAAATGAATGTAACCTGAAATAGTTAACGAGAAGAAATAGAAAAATAATTACGTCCTCATGTAAACTTCAATGAGAATATTTGAACATTATGAATTGAGGCACTCTTGGACGACACAGTATCACAAACTAAGCCAAAATGGTCTACTAAAGGAGCCAGGTTCTGGAAAATAGTACTAAGCACTCCAAATGTACATCATGTTTGTATGGGTCTGTGCATTAATTGTTTTTATATCTTTGTAATTACATGTATGTGAATCTACATGTATGTATAAATACAAGTACGTAGGTTAGTATAGGTGTTTTTGAGTAAATGTGCAAGTCCATGCACGGAATTCTTGGTAAATACCTTATGAAGGGTAAAGCAGAATCAGCAGAGCGAGTTCCCGAAGGAAGCCGCTCGGCCGAATTTGCAAGTGCACTGACCAGATCATTTTGCCCAGCCGGTGTAATTAGAGGATAATAAGACCTAAGTAATCGTGCTGCTGCACTCCAAGCAGCAAGAGGATCTCCTGCACGGACAGCAGACAGAAGTATTTCTCTCAGTACAACCATCTGCAGGGTGCTCCATTGAGATTCAAACAGAGAGACTATTGAGTGGTGATGCATCTTCCCTTCATCAGCATGAGTAGGTTCAGAGTCCTTTTGAAAAAATTAAAAGAAAAATATTAGTTAGAAATATGGAAATGGAATTAGGGCAAATCAGAAGAGCTACGATATGCAAATGCTATCTCAGTCAGGTTTTAGACAACCCAAAAATTCCTAGAAAGAGTCAACATCCAACACCTTTACGAATATTTCCTAGAAAGAAAAAGATGAACCACAACCAACTGCAACAAAAACAGTCAGTGGTAACAGAACTCTCATGGATGGATGAAGCCATCATAATAATACCATATAGTTCCAAAGAATTCCGAAACATATCTCTGCATAATTGCAAATATGTAAAATTTTTAAGTAGGTTTTTGAACTCACCTCAGATATGTTATGTTCAATGGATGCTCTAGTTTGAACACGATATGCTTTTGTTGTCATTGCCAACACATGCATGGCACTGATAGCGGCAAATTTGTTATCTTGCTGCAAATACAATTGAGCAACCTGCCTTGAGAAAAAAACAGCTTTTCGATGATAACCCAAGGCACCAAAAAGTCGTGCTATTTCTACATATAATATCAGTCTGTCACTGGCATCAATCAAAGATTTTGCTCCATCGGCAGCAGCAGTTAACAACTCCACAACCTCCTTAGAAAGCTCCCGCCTAAGTAAACTGTAAAACAACAATGTGTGTGTGAATGTGCTAAGCAAGAATTTAGAGATCCACTTCATATTCCACATAAAACAATTCTCCAGCGTACATATTCTACAAACAGTAACATAAAAAGATGAAATCAACCACAAACTTATACATGAGCATTTTACATTAATATAGACAAAAAGAATAAGATAAACAACAGTACCTGCAAAGGAATCTTGCCAATTTTAAAGTTGCCTCAAGTTCAAAACTTAATGGTGAAACCCTACATGCAGATAATAAATAATAAGCAACTTTGAATATGAGAACTGAATGCGTTACAACAACTGATACTGGGAATTTAAAAATTCAGGATGAAAAGGTTACGCAAGGGAAAAAGCAGTTTTGAGCACACACGAATAACTAATCCAGGAACAAGGAAAAAAACTAAGAAAGAAAGGACAAAATGTCCTCCTTAACATATGTAATTAAAAACAAACTAAAAATCAAATTACCCACAATTCCTATCCTTAAATCCCAGCTTGCTTTGCAGGTTACATTATCATCATTTGTTAGGGAAACCAAATGTTATAATTCCCTGCTTTCTTATTTCTTTTTCCTCCCATCATGCTCAGAGGAAGCCTATACCTGTACTATCTTTACATGTTAATCAACTAATCTGAAGCCCATCATGATACAATGTGAAGTTAGCAACTCAAGTCATGCTTCACGTGAGACTGGAGTTTTCGGAGTTGGTTGTTCAGTCGCACTAGAGCTTCCACGAACCTGATTCCTTGAATACTAACAAAGAATTAGTAAGTCTTTTTCAGTTCTGAATGTTTATTTGCCTAAACTATTAATCAATCTCGTAAAAGTACTTCAGCATTGCTATACTACTGAGGCCATTCATTGGAATGTATGTTGAAGTTAACATGAACAATATTATATATTCTTTTACAGGAATATATTTCTCAAAATTGATTTCGGCTTTCAGAATATTATCATAGATCTTGCACTTCCCAAGTGGATTTATAGAAAAGCAAGATATTTTGTTGAGAGAATACAAGAAAAACAATTGTAGAAGATTATTTTCAAGCATAACACAAATGAAGCACCATCTGTGCTTTGACTGGATTGGAATCTGACAACTGTGAGAATCAAGGAAATAAACTGCAATTCAAAGCTGATAAAGAAGTATGAAAGGGGATAGTTTTAGTTAACCTTCCTTTCTCATCAGTGATAGGCATAAACATCATTTATTCCGTTTTCAATGTTAATCAAAAGCATAATTTATCTCAATACATGGAAGGTGAATGATAACACGGCACTGAATTGTAGTAATCTTGGGGTGGAAATGTTCAGGATGCAAAGATGATATATTTTACAAACTTTCACCATTTGCAGTAATATTTTTCTCCAAAAAATAGAGCATTAATCAAACAAACAGTGTGATTTACCATGTTCTTTTGAAAGATTAATGGAATGAAATGGTCTAACAAATTCTAAAAAACCAGCCCATCCACTTTTGGAAGATTATTGGAATGAAATGGTCTAGAAAATTCTCATAAAGCATCCCATAGAATTTATTTTTCTTCAGCTTATACAGCAAGTAGGATTTCGGCATAATGGTGACGAAAAAAGAAACCCTGGAACCCTGCTAATCATGTTTATTTTTAGTTATTTATTACATTTATCGTATTATTGTCTTGGTGATAGGGTTTGATAGGAAACACATATTCAATCAAAAGATATAATCAATATTTACAGAGAGGTCCTCACATTTAACTCTCAACTACAGTAACACTGATCAATTGCAGGTTGTAAATCATACAGTACATGTCTAATATTTGTCCCAGCACTATTATACATGTCCGTGTAGTGCCAGGCAAATATAACTGGTAACCAGACGTACTTATAACATAAATCGGGATATTCAAGTATAAACAACAAGAATAGGGATTGATACCTTTGAGCATCATCTTGGATAAATGATTTTCTGTAATGTAAAATTACACTGTTGTAGCGATATTTGACCTCCTCCTCTACAATGGGATCCTTCTGACCCCCCATTCGATCTACCTAATTATGAACAATAAAAAATATTTTTTTACTATGTTTTCAGATTTAAAAAAAAAAAGATGCAAGAGAAAACATGTATGTCGATCAGAAATGTAATATTCTTGAAACATAGAATAGGAACCAGAAAGTTCAAGGTGTTCTAAATTACCAATATCTCCCTATGTATTGTTCATGCAAGATCCATACACTATAAGCAATTATGTGCAAGATCCTATACACTATAAGGAAACATTATACTCAAAGTATCTTATATATACATTGCAGCATTGGCAACAGTAGTTAAAACTTTTATTTAGATTCACAATTTGATTGTTATAACTTCAATAAATATTGAACAATATGATATAGGTTTTGTCCAATGATAATAATAAAACTAAAATGCATATCAAAACTGTGTATAAGCAACATTTTAAATTTTTTCTGTTTATCAGAAAATCAAAACAGAAAGGTAGAATGATGAACACATGGCAACAGGTTATTTAATTGTCTACAATAGCAATATTTTATTCGTTGATATGCAATTCAAGAATTGCAAAAATTCGAAAAGCACAATAATGTTTAGAAATAAAATAGATATCAAAAACATGTTCCAAGTTTTGTCCATACAACTGCATCTGAACTGTTAGGATTGTGTTCATGGACTTGTCAATAGAGGGGAAGAAGGTAATTCACACAGTGGCAGAGAAAAGCGAAAACAATGTTGCCATGAGTGCTTGTGGAATCAAAAACCTTGCACAGCATTCTAGAAATAAAGAATGCAGTTATCTAATGGAATCTCTTGAAAAATTTCTGCTGTGCACACATGCTTACCAGCAAGGCACAAACGCTGCCTTCCATTGCCCCCGCATACCAGAAGAAGTCGCCAGTCAATCTAGCAAGTTCCAATGCAGAAGAATAATGGGCGTTGGCATCAACAGGTGATCCAGCCAACAGACAATAATCTCCTATGGTTTTCTGTGCACGGCCCAGTCGCCGCTTTTTTGCCTTGATCACCTGTGAATTTTCTCAATTAGAATAAGGAACTGCAGTTTCAGTTACCCGAATGTTTACAGGAAATGAAACACTAATAAACATGAAATTTTAAAAGGAATACACAAATAAAATTCTCAGGACACCTAAAATCTAAACCTCCTCTGAGCTGAGACTGGCTTGAGAATCTAGAGGTGTCTTCAAAATAGTTCCACCAGATTCTGCTTGAAGAACCCATTTCTCAAATTCCATCAGCAAGGAGGCAGCAATATCTTGCATCATTGTTTGTAAGTGGAGTTCTTGAGTTTGACGATCAGCGGGAGGAAACAATACTAAGTTACCTCCCTTATGACTCTCGTCTTCTAGCTGCAATACATCAAAATTATGTCAATTGAGTCATGCTAGCACTTAAAAAGCCACAAATTTATTTAACTCCCAAATTCCATTATGGGGGAAAAGTACACTTTTATTCTGCCATTATCATTAAAAGAGTTCATACATTATCGCATCTAATTCTAACTGTATAAATACCATAAGAAAACTGTCTATTTTACGGCCTAAGACTACGAGCTTGTTAAGTACTAGAAAAAATCCCGATAATAATTCAACTGAACCTGGGAATCCCCGGGGCAGAAGGCGAAGCAGCGCTGAACAAGTGAGGAAGAGTAACCCTTGCAGGCATTGGAGAATTGTTGGGCAACGGATCCGAGATCAGGGGACGAAGGGCAGTGGCAGATGCCGATAACGGCGAGGATCTTGCGATTGGATTGGAAGTCCTCCCAAGGGGAGAGAGGTGATCCGCCGAGCATGAATTTGAATCGGAGGCTGCCAGAGTCCCAGGGCTGATGTGCGAATGGCGACTTCTGGTGCTCCGTGTAGAAAGAGCTGACGGATGAGAGGGACACCGTTTGGTGTTGGTTAAGCATGGACGCGTAATCACGGAACAAAGGCGTCGTGATCTTGCCGATCGGGAGCACTGCCGCTCGGATCTTGCTGCTCGTCTCTATGCTCACGTCTGGCTCCATTTTCAGATGCCGAGTTCCCGAGTATGTGCGACAGTGGGTGGGAGAGGGAACAAAAGTTGGAAGATCTATCGTTGTGAAAAAGCATCGTGCACCTAAGACGTTTTTCAAATAAGTAATGCTACTTAGCAGCTTGTGCTACAATCCCAGTTTATAGCGTTAATGTGATATTAGATGATATGTAAAATTTCAGTAGACTACATAGCATTTCTTTTCTCAAATATTGAAACGGCTTCCGTTCGGGAGTGATTAAAATCCAATTAAAATTGAAAATATGGCCGTTATTGGGTCTCACCCTTCTAATAAAAGTCAACAATAACGGCTATATTTTCAATTTTAATCCGATTTTAATTCCTCCCATACAAGGCTAGCTTTGTTTGTCGGGTAAATTCATTGATCACCCAATTTTATATTTACAATCTGTCTGGGACTGATTTTTGCCCCCAAATAATTGCTTCTTTGCCCGTTACAGCCAACCTTTTTTGACTTTGTGTGAGATAGGTGGGACCCGCCAGCCTTCCCTAACGGTCAAAAAAACGCTGAGAAGTTGGAGTTTCAGCAGCACCAGACAGGTTCTTAGTATTATCATAATCACCTAATTTGATTTTATTTTATCATGATCATCCAATCACCTAAGAGTTTGTTTGGGAGGGATTAAAATCAGATTAAAATTGAAAATATAGTCGTTATTGTTGATTTTTATTAGACAGGTGGGACCCAATAACGGCCATATTTTCAATTTTAATTGGATTTTAATTTCTCCCAAACGAGGCATGTCACCATAACTACTTAATTTGATTTTATTTCACCATAAGTACCCAATTTAATATAACGTTTCACCATAACTACCCAATTTAATATAACGTTTCACCATAACTACCTAATTTCATATAACATTTTATCATAATCACTTAATTTCTTTTCACAATTTTCACTAATTTTAAAATGGTAAAACGGTAACTTCGTATTATATACATAAAATAAATATTAAAAAAAAGTTTTTTATTTGTAATTTAAAAACGTTTATTTTTAAATAAGTTTTTTTTTTAAAGTAACTTTTTTTATTTTATTTTTATAAGTAACTTTTTTTAATAAGTTTTTTTTTTTAAGTAAAGTTTTTAAAATAAGTTTTAGTTTTAATTTTTTAAATTTTATTTTATATATATAATGCAAAGTTACCATTTTACCCCTTTTAAAATTAATGAAAATTGTGAAAAGAAGTTGGGTGGCCATTGTGAAATATTATATGAAATTGGATGTGTTGGTAAAATAAAATCAAATTGGGTTGTTACGGTGACACTAATTATAAAATTGAGTGGTCATGGTGAAACAAAACTAAATTAAGTGGTCATAGTGACATGAAGTATAAAGTTGGGTGGTTATTGGTATATTTAACCCCAATTTGTCACGTGTTCATTCAAAACTATTTTTTCTACGTGTTTATTTTTATCCACAAGTTCACATAATAAAATATTTTACACATTAATTCAAAATTTTCTCACTTTTTAACTATATATTCTCCAAAAATTCACCAGTTAAAACAATATTTTCCCAAAAACACGACCACCAAACAGAGGCTATTAGTTTTCTAAAATGCGCATATATGGGAGCATAAGCACCGAATATTTTCAAAACGTTTGACATATGAGGTATCCGCATTATAAAAGTATCTCCAAGAAATTCTCTATTTTTAAAGAGCATATTCTATCATTTGAAGAGTGTCTATAAATTGAGAGAGTTAAATTTTTGAAGTACTTCAATAAGCTCTTTAAATTTAACACTTAATTTTACTACTCCCAAAAAAATATTTATTATTTTTCTTTATCTTTTATTTTAACTAACTTTTCTTTAGGAAAAATGTTATTCATCCCCATTGAGGATGGATTCCAAGTCTACGTAGATGTAAATTATTGGTTAAATGATATGTGAAATTAAATGACTTATTTAATTTCACCTATCATTTAATGTCACATTAACACCACATAGATTGTGGATGCATCCCCATTGGGGATGAATAACATTTCTCTTTCTTTATATTATTTTATTGTTTTCTTATATTAAAAATTGAAACACTTTGAATGCATTTAATTATAGAAAGTGAGTTTGACTCTTTGAATTTGGAGAGTCAAATCCACTTTCTAAATTAAAATGTTGATTTAAAGAGTTTATTGGAGCATAAGTTTAAATATTGACTTTTTAAAATAAAAAGCATTTCATATTTAAAGAGTTTCTTGGAGAT